TAATTGCATTACCAATCTTTAACAACCAAACCATTCAATTTATTTAATTTTTAGAAAAGAGAGATTATTTCAGTCTGTACTGAAATACCAAAACAATTTTCTCATTTCATAGAGAATGTTTACAGAGGCTTTCTTACAGTGTCACCTGTTGTGGTCTCAGTGAGGCTGAGAGTAAAACAAACAAGCAAACATCAGCTGTGGAGAACCTGTGTGTCCGCATATATACGCTTTATGTGGCAAGGAATATAAAAAATATTCAGAAAACATTTAAGAAAAGCAAAAACAAAAAGAAGAAAAAATACCAGTTTGATGAGTAAAACTGAGAAAAAGAAGAACTTTTACTTAAGTTACAAGTTTTCCTCAGTTTGCCAAAGGTCCAGATGATATCACTGCTGGCTAATTCAGTGACCAAATTATTAGCAAGTAAGATTAACACAGGCCTTCTACGGATGTCAGCCCTTCCCTGGAAGGAAAAAAACACTTCGTAGGCTCTGGAGAGATGTGCCAATTGTACACAAGTAAAACATAGAACATCAACATTATCTTCAGTTTTCTCAAACTAGACCAATTTACAAAAAGGATCACCCCCAAAGTTATATAGTTTCTTCCCACATTCAACCTCTCACTTTTTATGAACCTAGCTCCACTCCTTACTCTCATTTTTGTAAGACAGAAACATAACCTTTATCACTCACATGGTCCAATCTAGTGTTGATGGAAGGGACATTCAAGATCTAGGTACTGAGAGCGGTGCCTGGAGGGGAACCAGGCTCTCAGGTGTGTTCTGTTTGGCCAGGACAGCATGGAAGGAAAGGACAAAAAGAAAGGGAAGGAAGGAAACAGGGAGGGACCAAGAAAGAAACTGGAATGTTTTTATAAAAAGCATAAACATTTGGCCAGTTGAGCCATAAGCCTCACCATTCCCTAGTGTCTTCCACCGACTCCATCACACATTTTACCCTCTGCTTGGCTCCTAACGGCAACAATTCTAGTCCAAAGTTTTTATTTTACAGTTGAGGAAATAAGAATCCAGAACAGTTTATTAACTTGCCTAAGGTAACACAGATGGTTATGAGCAAAGCAACAGTAAGAATTCAGTGATGCGGCTCGTAGTTCCACACTCTTCTCTGACTCTATTTTACTCTTCCAGAAATTCAATCTAGAGCCTGAAACATCAAAATGTTGAAAGAAAAAGGGGGGAGCCAGCATATAAAATGTATATACAAAACAAATGATGTATTCCTGTTACAGTACAAGTTTGTTCCATATTTCTTTATGCTCACCCAACCAAAGGCGTTAAGAACTAGGTGAAGAGATGAGTTGTATGTATACAGGTGTTGATGAAACTGTATCCATGGCTAACACTGGAGCAATAGACTAGACATGATTCTGTTATGGAGGCTGGGACACTGCATTTCTCACAAGTTCTTTCCTTCCTTCTAATACCATATCCTTACATTCAAGTGTACAGAACTTAAAACAGCCTGGATTGCCCATTATTCTGGTTTTTCTGACCCTTTCTAGGCTACAAACTCATTCATTTTATACCTCACGGTCTTGTACAATGATGTGTTGAATTTGAATTCGAGGGGCACCAGCCCCATGGCCCAGTGGTCATGCTCACTCGCTCCACTTAGGTGGCCCAGGGCTTCACCGGTTTGGATTTTGGGTGTGGATGTGGCACCACTCATCAGGCCATGCTGAGGCAGTGTCCCACATAGCACACCAGGACATACAACTAGAATATACAGCTATGTACTGGGGGGCTTTGGGGAGATGAAGAAGAAAAAAGAAAAAAAGACTGGCAACAGTTGTTAGCTCAGGCGCCAATCTTTAAAAAAATAAAAATAAAAAAAGAAATTAGAGGAGTATTTGCTACTCCCCCTAGTTAACAAAATAGCTTTCAGCCACTCTGTGGGTCTTGAATTCTAGCTGTCTCCCGAGTGAATGAACACCTAACTACACTGCCAGGAGACCTCCCTAGTCACTTCTGGTTCTAGATTAAACTCTATGACTTCCGGGATCCCTAGGATATGCCCACTTTTTACCACACTAGGAACTTTCAGATCATCTACTTTGTAGGAATAATATTACAGATCTGTGGGGCAATGAAGTCTTAGTTTTTCTACTAGAACTCTTCCTTTGAAGGAGAGTCACTAAAACTCTCCAATTTCTTGCAGTGGGGCAAGAAGGGCCAAAGCAGGAGGTATCCTTAGAGGGGACAAACAGTGAAGACATCTGCAAAGTGCAAGGGAAAGGATGAGAGGTGAGTATGGATCTGCAAGTGGGCTCCCTATTTCCATGGCTGCTCTAGGATCACCAGGGTCAAGGAGAGGCAAGAATTCCACTCAAGTCTTAAAAGTAAGAAGGCCACTTTGACTCTGCTTTTCACATCACATTCCAATTCTTAATATACTATAATTGTACCCAAAATCATATTTAATGTAAAGAAATGAGGAAAACCTATAAAAAATGAGGGACTATCTCGGAAAATTGTGAAAGCATTTTTGCATTTTTCTATGACTACTTCCTGGCTGAATATAACTGAAGGGATATTAGTAATGAGTACCTGTACTGTCACTTAGAAACCAGAGAATTAACCTGTGAGGAAAGACCAAGAATGCTCATAGCTTTTCTTTACACAGGAACTAGGCAAGACATTTTGGAGAAGAAATGGCAGATACACAAAACCAAACAAACCAACAAAGCCAAAATAAAACAAGACAAAAGAACTTTAAATGGCATTTTATCTGATTGTATAGTAACATGATTCTCAAGTTATTAGGCAAAAACACTTAAAATAATGAAGACCCACATATAAAATAATGCCACCACACTTTATTTATTCAGAAACACAAATTTGGCTTTAAAGGGAGTCATCCTGTTTAAAAGCAGTAATTTCTGTGTATGAAGCAATGCACTTCTGATTGTGCTTCGCTTCAGGGTTAGTTCTGTTTTGTTTCCTTCTATAAGCTATTATATAAAGTAAATAAACACAAGAATTAAATTGCTACTAAATAATAAAATAAGTCCTAAAGACCCACGAAAAATTCCAGATTCCATGTTTGATTCATTGTTAAAACTATCACTAAAAATTTTTAAAAAGCTTTAACCTTTTTCTCTGCTTTATGTTTGCTCTTGATTACGTCTTCACTATCTTATATTCACATTAAATTTAAAATTTATTTTACAATATATTATTTTTTAATGAAAACTCTTCACTCTATAATTACTGAAAGTATTATCATAGGTATTAAACACAATACTGTAACATTAGTTTGAAATTAACCCCTTTACTGCATCCAAATGCCTAACATTAAATAGCCTCTAATGCTTATATAAAGGTTCAAAATAAGGTCAAAGGACAAGAAACATTAGGAGAAACTTATAATGGAAAACAAATTTTTTTTTTACCAACCTCAAAAATTAAACGAAATCATTCATATTATTACTGTGCACAGTATTTTTCTTTCTTTCCATGAACAGTTAGAAGTGGTTATTTCTGTATCTAACAGCTCTTGAAACAGCAGACTGAAGGAGGTATTCATCAAGACCAATTATTTTACTCTTGCAGTTTGAAGACTGAGAATGTTGACAGTTTGTAACACTGTTGACAGATGGCAACAATAAATAATAACCCTTACAAAGTCTAGCGTTACTAGAAGATAAACTTTCTACTCTCCTTGAAAAATTTTTACTTGGGGGCAAGTACCAATTATAAAGAGCAGCTAACATCTAATAAGTGCTTCTTATGTGCCAAGCACTAATCTTCACCCTTATTTTCTATCACAGTAATCTGTAATTACTTTATTTATTGTCATTCTTCTCCGCTAATCCAGAGGCTTCAAGGGGGCAGGGACTTTGTCTAGTTCCTTATTGTATCCCCAGCACCTGGTATGCCTAACACACAGTAGGCACTAAATTAATAAATGAATCAGTGTTTCAAACGCTTTAAATAATTTTCTCAAACTGCTGGTTATGACCTAGAGGGTTAAAAAAATACCAAAGAATAGAAAATAGAGTGTATCACATTTAGTAGAATACTCTTTAATGAAACTTTTTAGTTTATATGTACATATATATCTCATACAAAATGTATTTCTTACTTATGGGTAACAGAAAAAAAAAGTCTGAAAATCACTGCTTTATGTGGATTATTTCATTTGCTCCTCACAATAACCCTGTAGACATTACCATAACTTCCACTTTAAAATAACAGAGCTGAGGTTTCTAGATGTTATACATGATGTCCAAGATGAAAGAGCCATTTACAAGTACAAACCTCACTTCTATAGATACTTACTCATAGGGTACTAGACTAAGAAAATCCGAATTAACTAAATAAGGTTTCAGCAACAGTAAGTGCGACATGATTAACAGAGAAAAACAGGCTTTTAAGGCAGGCAGGCCAGAGTGAATACCTGGGTCTGACATTAACCAGCTATGTGGGCTTTGGCTTAACTTTTTGCATCCTGATTTCTCTGTGCGTAAGAGAGATATTCATAATGTTGTTGTAAGTTTTAAATAATTTAACGTATGTAAATAGCCTAGACCCTAAACAGACGGTGTTGTGATTAAAATATTATTAGTGTTTTTTTTCCCCGGTCTAATAAATCACATTCAACCCACTACACCATAATTTGAATGCGTAGAAAGTGTGAATCAGGAACTTATCGGATTAAAGAACAAAGTATGCGAACTGGGCAAAAGCGGCAGAGAGCCGTCCAAGTGTTTCTGCTGGTGCTGGGTGAGAAGGATGCCCAAGTCAAGATCAGAGAGTTGGTTCAGGAAATTAAGGGAATCAAGGAAACAACGCTGGTTAACCGTAAAATCAAACAAAAAAATATTTTATCTTCCTCAAAGATCACAGCAACATCCATCTTCTGCCTCCGCATCCTGGCTGAGGCCGAACTGAGGTACTAGGAAACGCACCTGGTCAGCTCCTGCCCGCTAGGCCCTGGTACCCAGGGGCTAAGGCACACAGGTTCGGAGCAACTCACCCCGGAGACTCCGTTGATATTGCCCCAGAATCTCCTCCAGGGTAGAGTTCTCCGGGGACTTCGCCATTCACAGACACGGGGACCAGAGATGGGAGTTACGTGACGAAGCGTCCAGTATTTTCCTCTCCGAGAACAAGAGGCCTTAGCACTGGAGAGGCGCCCGCCTGCTTCCTGCCGCTGCTGCCTTGGGGGAGCATGTAACGCGGCACAGAGCTCGCGGGGGCTCTTCCTACCCACTGGCCCTCATGGTGAACGTCGGGAATTGTAGTCCGCAGGCGCCAGGCCTGGGTCTTCAAGCTCTCAAGAGCCCTTCCAACTACACTACAATTCCCAGAGGGCACGGCGCTCCAAGCGCTGGCTTCGGCGGTTTGGCAGCCAGATCCAGTTGCCAAGAGACTGCGTGGAGGCTCCGCCCTTTTTCTGAAGCCCAGCCTGGCTTAGTCCTGCCTTCATCCCATTCTGCTGTTTGGACCGCCCAACTGACAGAAAGGGCTAGCTGAAGGCCTTGACTCTTCTAAATCTGCTAGTATGCAGTTGATCCTTGAGGCTTCTCAAGGACGCAAATAACAAGCTCTACACCCTTCAGCAGCGACATTTGCCAAAACGGCCAGATAAATTCTCCAGAAGTTCTAAATCTCCCATATAGCCTAGTCTGCAAAGGGGGCCGACACTACAAATCCTAGCATGCCCAGGAACCCGACGTCCACTTGGAGTTGGCGCACTGCCCGCTGGGAACTGTAGTCCTTGTTGGTTGCGGTCCCGGCTAATGCCAGGGTCCGCTTCATTGTTCAAGCGAGTCTTCGGGGTACGCCTGCGCAGTAGGCAGCTGGGAAAGCTGGTGGGTGAGACCCTCCGCACAACCCCCTTTCATTGTCTGAATTTGGCGCCTGCGCAGTAAGAGATGGTTGGGACTGAGCCGGAGGAGGGGACGGGGCCGGGCTCCTCGCCCTTTCCCCAGGCGCCTGCGCACTAGGCGGGCGCTCTTTGCCGTTACCGCTAGGTGTGGGGCGTGTGTGGAATAACGTTATTGCCCAGCGGAGCTGAGGGGCCGGGAGCTCGTCTGCAGCGGCGGCGGCGACGACGACAGCGGCGACGACGACGACGAGGGGTGGGGGGAGGACAGCGTGCGAGAGACTCACGGGACGCGGCGCGCCCCGCCTCCCCGGCCGGTCCCTCTCCCAGCGGTGAGGGGTAAGTGATGCGCTCGGCCGCCGTGTCCGGCGCCGCCGCTTTGCACATCGCCCTGCCCGGCCTGGCAGCGGGGGCGCGGGCGCGGCGGGCGGGCGGCCAGGGCTGCTTCCCGGATGCTCCGCGCGGCGCCCCCGCCCCCGCGCCCGCCCCGGTCCTGCGGCCCCGGCCTCCGGGCGCCCGGCCGCCGCCTCTCCCGAGGCGTCCTGGACCGCTTTCGGCTCTCCCGGCTTTGTGCAGCCTCCCCGCGGCCGGGCAGGGCGAGGGGTGCGGGGAGCGCTGGGGAATGGCCGCGTGCCGCCGGGGAGGGGCTCTTCCCCGCGGGAGCCGCCAGCAGCGCCCACCCTTTCTGTGCGGTCGGTCTGGGGATGTGGGGCGGCTGCGGGGAGGTCGGGCCGGCAGCCTTTTGGACGCGGTGGAGGACGTGGTGTCACGCACCCTGCCAGGCGACTGCACCGCGCGGCGGCTCTGGCTCCAAAGCCGGGGGAGGGAGCGGCTTCCTGTCGGCTTCATTGTCCTCGGCTTCACGTGTGGGCTTCGGCCCTGGGTCCCTTCGTTTTGTGCAAGGAAAAAATAGGAGCAGCTGCCTAGCACAGGGCGGGAAGACGTGGGATTTGTACCCTAAGTCATCGAATCTCTGTGTTTTGGTGTTCGGTAGAGTTTTATTTATTTGAGGAACGTAAGCCCCTGGAAGACGGGGACAGTCCCTATCCAAGCATTGCCAAGGTGATCAATATAAAAGTACTGGATGACCGTGAAGACCGGACCGGGAAGGGCCTAACGACGAAGCTGTTGTGCAGCTGGGAAATGAACCAGCAGAATTGTTTTTTCATTGGGTGGGTGATGCATTCATGTTCCTAAGGGAATAGATTAGGATACATCTTTCCGTTTTGTTTTTTAAGCAATCAAAACAAAAAATAGGCCTAGTACATTTCTGTTTCTGAATTTGTTTATTCATATTTTTATTGTCTTAGTGAAAATTCACCCATTTGGGAGAAGTGTGGTGGAAGCAGTTGATACACTTGATTGAAAATGCTTCTTTTAAAATGATTTGATCCTTAAGCTTACTATACTTCCAACCATTTGCTGGCGTTCAAACAAGCAGAAGAGAGATTGAAGCAGAATGGGGAGGAGCAGGCGGAGGAATAATGTGAGGAGAGTGTTACGTTATGAATAGTACAGTATCTCGATCTTCACTGGTAGAACCTCAGCTGGGTGTGCTTCACAGATTTAGGAATTCAGCTCTGGAAATATTACATTGCAAGTTGTAAACCATTTTGTATTTTTCTGCCATTATTTTTTTAAAAGTAAAACCAGGCCTGCTTTTAGTTCTTCCTAACTTTATAAATGTAGGATTTCGGTGTTTTAAAACTAGAGAGTCTAAGTGCACTTGACAGAGACAGAGGAAGACACTAAAACTTGCAAGCTGGCTGACTTGTCTGTCCAGGCCATACTGCTGATGAAAGGCAGAGCCAAGTAAACCAAGGTCTGTCCTGCAGATGGCTGTTTCAGCTGTGTCCCCTGCCCTGTAAAAATGTATGGAAATTTTCTCTGCTGGCTCTCTGAGTTGTCTGTGACAATCAAGTTCGTCGATAACCCAGTTGTATTAATCTAATCCTTTTCTTTGTGAGGTACAAATAGTAATTCTCCTGAAGTGTAGCTTTAATTTTATAAAGGAACTTACTGATATGGGGAAAGATGCCCTAACATGGGCTTTTCATGAACAGAAACTGGAGTTTTTTCCCTACTACTTACTAGTAACCATATTTTAATTTTATTTCTTGATATTCAGTAGTATTTTATAGTATGATCAACTCTGTAAACTCTGTTAAAGATAAAATTGGCACATAACAAGACCTTATAAGTTCATTTTTCTTTGATTAAGGAGTTATAGTCTCGTCAACTTAAGAATTTACCTTTTGAGAAAGATATGTGTTGAACTTTTTATCAAAATTAAATTTGTGCTTTTTTATTGAGTTGATTGTGCCATAAAGGATTTTTTTGTTGTCATGTAATTTTTATCCTTTAATTCTACTTTGCATTTTAATAGTCTTTTTAAAAAGAATTTATTAATATTTCTCTTAAATTTCAACTTAAAATAATCTGTAATTAAATTCAGCGAGTGGAATTATATTAAATCAAACTTTATATGTATTTTACTGGTAAATTTTATGGTGTTCTAAAATTACTTTATAGGGAAATAACCATCTGCATATTTTCTGTCTTAGCATTAGAAGAGTGAAATTTGCACTATAAAATTATCATACATTATGCATATTAATGAAGATATCGAGGTGCATTTTTTAAAACTTTAAAAAAATTCTATACTTAGTGATTTGTTTTCTTTGTTCCAAGTATCAGTTTCTTGTTTTCTTTTATCACTGAAAATAAAAAGAACTAGTTGTATTGTTGCATCTGATAGTAATCAGATATCACTCATCTAGTACTGAATACTGCATATGTTTAAACTTGTCAACATTTTTTTATCCAACAAAATTCTACTCCTGAAAAATAATTTCTCCTATTTTAATTAATATGTAATGATTTTTTTCTTCTCGATCATGGACATTGGGGTGTTAAGAGTATGCTATTCTAATAAATATCTAACAGATGGAGTGATGCTAAATTGCCAACTAAAATATCTGTATAGTTGCAAATTATTCTGAAAGTATAACAAAAGAGCGATTACATACCATCTGAAAAATCCTTGGTGGATAGATAATATTGACTGGAGAATTAAACGTTAATGTGTTTCAATAAAAAATGGGTTTCCTCTTATGGGGAGAAATCTCAGATCATCCTTATTTCATAAGTTTTGGTTAATAACCACGATTTCTAATAATCAGCTACCCTTGGCGATATGAGTTTTGATTTATTTACTCAGATATTTATTCAGGGATGTGCTCAGCAGTGAGTTAGCCAGTGTGGGCAGTACCAAAGAATGAGAAAACATCTGTCTGGTAGTAGGGTTGATTGAACTGGACATACAGCCCAGTTTAGTTGAAATGATTGTGCACCAATATGTCAGAATTTTTTTGGCCATAATGAATGACATGGCCTATATATACCAAAGGTAATGCCCACTTTTATGTCAAACAAAGATAGAAAGGAAACCAACAGAAGCAAGATTAAAGAAAACCTTACAAAAATTGCTTGTATACAAGTAGGGGTTGTACAAAACATAATAGTGGAAAAGAATTTTAAGCATGCATTACTTAGGTTTGAAAAACAAAAAAATGAGACCTAGCGGAGAATAAGCCATTATTTAAGAATTTCAATAATGAATGAACAATATAGAAAATAGTACCGTTTGAAAAATGATATTTATTGAATAAATGAAGAATACCTACCATGTATTGAGCACCTACTAAGTGCCAGGCCGTGTGTGTGTGTGTGTGTGTAATTCATGCAACAGTCTTGTAAATAAGGTATTATTTTACACATTTAAAATTGAGAATATTTGAGGCCCAGAGTTAGTAATTTTGCCTCTGTGTCACACATTACTAAGTGGTGGAGCCTATAACTGAATCTTTGTCTTTTTGACTATAGCCAGAATTCTTTCCACTCATCCTTTTTAGTGAGTTAAAAAGGCAACATTTATTCCTTCTGATTCCCAACATTTTAGAATTAGAGACTTTAGAAATCATCTCATACAGTGTGCCACCTACTACTAATGTCCCTGAGATCCTATTGAATCCAGCTTCTCACGAACAACACTTCCATGAACAAATGGGCGTAAGATGGCTCATTTAACTATTGAAAAGTGTAATAGAGAGATCTTACTTGAAGTGAGCTAGTGTCTGCTTTACTGTATAACTTCTTCCCATTGGTTGCAGTTTTGTCTTGAGGAGTAAGATACAGCAAGAGTCTCCTCAATACATTAGGTCCCTGCTAGGTTTTCTCTTTTCTGAATTGAGTGTTCCAGCCCCTCCAGCTTCATGTCATCTGGTTTCCGTTCCCTTTCTCCACTCCGGCAGCTGGACTCAGTCCGTGTCGTCCGTGCTGCTCCTTCTGCTCTGGTCTGCTTTCCGTCTTTAGTCCTGCAGTTACAGTCTGAGTGCAGTTAGTGAAG